CATACAAAACTACACCGCAAAGTCGCTGTTTTAAACCAAAAACATGGTCAAAATTTTTTCCTCATTATGCACTGAGCGCTGCAGGATTTTTTTTATATGGTGCACACTTACCACATACAGGGATTTGTAATGTCACCATGGTTGTTTAATATATTTATAGATGGGGTTGTAAAAGAAGCAAATGCTAGGGTGTTCGGGAGAGGGGTGGGATTAAATTTTGGGGAATCAAATACAAAATGGGAGTTGCTTTTTGCTGATGATACTGTGCTCATGAGAGATTCTAAAAACAAATTGCAAAGGTTAGTGGATGAGTTTGGGAGTGTGTGTAAAGGTAGAAAGTTGAAAGTGAACATAGAAAAAGAGTAAAGTGATGAGGGTATCAAATGAGTTAGATAAAGAGAAATTGGATATCAAATTGGGGAGAAGGAATATGGAAGAAGTGAATGTTTTCAGATACTTGGGAGTTGACATGTCGGTGGATGGATTTATGAAGGATGAGGTTAATCATGGAACTGATGAGGGAAAAAAGGTGAGTGGTGCATTGAGGTATATGTGGAGACAAAAAACGTTATCTATGGAGGCAAAGAAGGGAATTAATGAAAGTATAGTAGTACCAACACTCTTATATGGGTGTGAAGCTTGGGTTGTGAATGCAGCAGCGAGGAGGCGGTTGGAGGCAGTGGAGATGTCCTGTCTAAGGGCAATGTGTGGTGCAAATATTATGCAGAAAATTCGGAGTGTGGAAATTAGGAGAAGAGGGGCTGAAGAGGGGTTGTGAGGTGCTTTGGTCATTTAGAGAGAATGGATCAAAGTAGAATGACATGGAGAGCGTATAAATCTGTAGGGGAAGGAAGGTGGGGTAGGGGTCGTCCTCAAAAAGGTTGGAGGGAGAGGGTAAAGGAGGTTTTGTGGGTGAGGGGCTTGGACTTCCAGCAAGCGTGCGTGAGCGTGTTAGATAGGACCTGACGATCTGTTGGAGTGTGAGCAAGGTAATATTTAGTGAAGGGATTCAGGGAAACCAGTTATTTTTATATAGCCAGACTTGAGTCCTGGAAATGGGAAGTACAATGCCTGCACTCTAAAGGAGGGGTTCGGGACATTAGCGGTTTGGAGGGATATGTTGTGTATCTTTATACGTATATGCTTCTAAACTGTTGTGTTCTGAGCACCTCTGCAAAAACAGTGATTGTGTGAGTGAGGTGAAAGTGTTGAATGATGATGAAAGTATATTCTTTTAGGGGATTTTCTTTCTTTTTTGGGTCACCCTGCCTCGGTGGGAGACAGCCGACTTGTTACAAAAAAAAAAAAAAAAAAAAAACTTACCACATAGACCCATTCTTTCATATCTAGGTCCAAATTTACCACTCACAGCTTATCTGAGTGAGCTGAGCTCATCACATAGTACAAGTTGACCATCACTAATCCGGCATCATAGGACCTGTTGGGTGCCGGATTAGTGATTAGGTTAGAATACACTTAACCCAAAGGTGATATTTAGACATCGGAGATTTCACCCACTTTACGCCCTATTTCTGGCTCATTCCATTGTTCCAGTCTACCCAACTGAAAATGCTCATTTACCTATTTTAAATGTCCAATAGAGGTCAGAAATCAGTAATTTGGCCAACTTTCAAAATAGGGTTTAGAATAAACAATGCAGTCATTCCTGGCACTAAAATAACATTTTCTCCGTTCATCGGTCATGTCTCCAGGCCCCTCTTATATTATACTTGTTTTCCATTTTGAATATTTATTCACACAAAAAATAGAAGATTTACTGTTATTGTAATACAGTGGTACTCAAGTTTCGAACAGCTCCCAACTCGAACAATTATGTAATCTATTTTTGTAAGTCTTTTGTAAGTGTACTTTTGGAGGTCTGAAATGGACTAATCTAATGTACATTATTCCTTATGGGAACAAATTCATTCAGTATCAGCACTCGAACAGCCCTCTGGAATGAATTAAGTTCATAACTCGGGGTCCCAAACTGGGGGTACTTGTATAAATACTCGACCGCAAGTTGTACATATATTGGATGGTGACGCTATTTGTTTACTCTTGAACAATGGCAAAAATCAAACATTTCTACTCCTTCGAGCTCAATTTTAAGGTACTTTCCATCGTGAAACCAATCAAAATCATATCCATTTCTATATCTTCCATTCTATCAAATGAGACCAAAAAGACGAGAACACACCCATAAAAACCATACAGAAATACACTGCAATCACTGTTTTACCCCAAAAACACTGTCACAGTTTTTTCTCATTATGCACTGCTTGCTGCAGGATTTTTTTTATATAGTGCACACTTACCACACAGACCTATTCTCTCATATGTAAGCCCAAATTTACCAGTCACAGCTTATTTGAATGAACTGAGCTCATGGTGACCGACAGTGGCTTCAAAGCCACCTTATCTTTCATGGACAATGTAGTGTGTATGTGCTTTACACAACGAGAAGCATATTTTTTATTCATTGGAACCATGGCTAGAGCTAAAAGTGAGCAGGTTATAACAATAAATAGAGAAAAAGAAATTGGAATAACTTATGCAGCAAGTAGCACCATCAAACAGTAGTGGCAGGTTGGTGTGGCGACCCCGGAAATTTGAAATTCTGCTTCCCGACATTAGTGCCAGATTACTAATGGAACCAGATTACTGATTGCCGAAGTAGTGATGGCGGACCTGTACCATGGCTGACTGAACAATGGCATGGACCCTTTCGGGGTTCACGCTGTTGTTCAATCAGCTTGTTTCTATCATATTTCTAAGTATGTTTGTCCAAAAATGTAATTTTTTTTTGTTCTTGCTGTCATCAGGAGGAAAAGTAGATAATTAGTTAACATCACACTTACCTTTATTGAAGACATGGTGATGTATGGAAGACGGGAGGAGGGGAGAGGATGGAGGAGTTTACAATTGTTTGGAAGGGGAATCCCCTTCCATAAAGACTTCAGGTACCAAGTCCTTATCCTGGGTTACTTCCCTCCTTTGTTTTTTAATGCCACTAGGACCAGCTTGAGAGTCACTGGTTCCCTGTCACTCAAAAAAGTGTTCCAGAAAGGTCTGTTTCTGGCATATGTTAGGAATTTTATTGGGAGACAGGACAAGATAGTCCTTAAATATGACATTAATATCAGCTCTACGTTTTTTTTTTTCAACAAACCGGGTTATTAGCCCCTTGCTCCTGGCATTTTAGTCGCCTCTTACAACATGCATGGCTTACGGAGGAAGAATTCTGATCCACTTCCCCATGGAGATGAGAGGAAATAAACAAGAACTAGAAAGAAAATAGAAGAAAACCCAGAGGGGTGTGTATAAATATGCTTGTACATGTACAGTGGAACCTCAAAAATCAAACTGCTCCCAACTCAACCAATTATGTAAGTGTATTTTCGTAAGTGCTTTTATAAGTGTATTTTTGAGGGGCTTAAATGGTCTAATCTAATTTACATTATTCCTGATGGGAATAAATTCGTTCGGTAGTGGCACTCAAACAGCCTTCTGGACCTAAGAAAGTTCGATATTTGAGGTTCCACTGTATATGTAGTGTGACCTAAGTGTGAGAAGTAGCAAGACGTACCTGAAATCTTGCATATTTATGAGACAGAAAAAAAGACACCAGCAATCCTACCACCATGCAAAACATTTACAGGTTTCCGTTTTACACTCACTTGGCAGGACGGTAGTACCTCCCTGGGCGGTTGCTGTCTACCAACCTACTACCTAGAACGGCTTATTTATCTAGCACAATTCATCTAATATGACATAATAAACAATATTAATAACATAGAAACATGATATATACTCTAGAATGAATAAAATATGGCATTAAGAATGTCAAGAGTGGTGGTGTGTTGTTTGTTGTTGGGTGTATAAGGGCCACTGAAAGACAAGTCTTACATAGTGGTGGTGAAGGCGGCAGCAGAGGCAGCGGTGTTAGTCAGTAGCCCTATATACTTCCAACAACAATGGAGGAGTCGGTTTTGTGCTGTCCTTTTTCTATCGATTAATCACTTAACTTACTTGCTACACTGTTAATGCTACACTTTATCGCTGGCTGGAGCTATAGCCTTTATAGACTCCTACTGCTTTAGTATCATACATATTCAAGAATCACTTTAAAAGGCACATTCTCCCCTCTCTCTCAGTCCTTTACCAAAGGGCTGGCTGGCACTAGAAGCTTTCTTTGGGCCCATGGTGGCTTATTTAGTAGTTACAAGTACTAAAAAGAATGGAATAATACAAAATGTATCGTTTGAATGCGTGGGATCATCCTTACTGGCTGGTAAACAATGGCACACTGGACCGCTCAGGCCTCAACACAAATGACTTAAACCGAGTTCCATGACATTCGAGCCAATATTTTGACGCAAAAACGTTACTTATTCTGAATATTACTTATTCCAATGACATCTTAATCTGGGGGTCCATTGTATGTATAACCCAGAAATAAGTTATTGGCATTATTTTCCTCTCATGCACAGAGTATTTATAGGAGCATCATGATTTTTTTCACACGTTATTGAGGAATGATGGTTCTATTGAATTAGCATAGAAAGTTTGTGATATATTTTACCATTTTGTTTTTATTGAATTTTTTCTCCCAAAAAGAGTCCTTAAAAAACACATTTCAATATTTTGCATAATGCAATCTATTGACATTTCACTCAAACGTCTGCATAATTAGATTACCTAACTTGTTATCTCTCATCTGATGTCAACTAGAACATTGTAAGTCTTATCAATTTTGTAGTGAACGGATAGTTTTACGCCCTATAAAATAGGGCACTATATTTTTTTCGAATTGTAAGGAAAACAGTCGCAAACAAAACACAGTGTCTAGGTTTCAAATGCTGCTTAATTCACAGTAAAAATTCCATTGAAATTGGACCAAAATAAAAAAATAATTATACTTGTCGGTCCCTTAAGGTTGTCATAACAATAACAGAACATTAAGGTTGTCATAACAATAGAATCAATATTACCTGTTCAGCGAGTTCCTTGATAAGAAGAACAGATATGAAGGTCTTGCCAGAACCTGTACCAAGAACAAGAATGGAGTTTTGTTTCTTGGCTTGTTCAAACAGTTCCAGCTGGTAGGCTCGGGCAATAAACTCACAACCACCTGCCTGAAACATTAATAATTACCTCATAATATTATTCAAATAGTTACAGCTGGTATCAATCAATCAAATTCCACATGATAAATGGTTTGTTCAACATTGGAGAACAATAAACCTCTCACATGGAAAGCCTTTTAAATTTGGCAGAACATTTCAGGCAAGCTTATACCTAACTTACCTCTATACCATTTTACACAAATGTTTACAAGACAATACATTATAAGTTCGATAAAACAAACTGGGATGGGTCCAATTTACCAAAAACTCCATTATATTGAAGGTTTCAATTAGTGGACATATGTATACTTAATCAATCAACTTCTACACATGGACAAAGGTCCAATAAAATAAGATTCTGTCTGCTGTATTGCTGACACCACTGCCACACATACAAAGATAAAACTACTGCAAGAATGCTCTTTTTTCATCACAGGGTTTGACTAGGTTAGGTTTAACCTTTCAGGGTCCAGAGGCCAAATTTCCAAGTGTGCCCCAGGGTCAAAGAATTTTCAACAAAAAATTTGCTATTTTTTTCTTATGAATGGTAGAGAATCTTTTTCTGAATGTAATAAAACAAAAAGTATGATATTTGATGGAAAATTGACAAAATTATGCTCTCGCGAATTTTGATGTGTCAGCGATATTTACGAATTGGCGATTTTGCCGACTTCGACTCCCATTTTAGGCCAATTACATTATTCCAGTCGACTAAATTCTAAGCTATTTCACTATTATTACTTCTATTCTATCGATTGAGCACAAGAAATTGCTCGGTCAACTGTTTCAACTACAAAATAAAGTGATCGGAAATTGGTAATTTGGCCAATTTAACACAAAGTTCAAAATATTCCAATTTCAAAATAGGGTCCAGAATAAACAATGCAGGCATTCCTGGCACTAAACTAACATTTCCTCTGTTCATTAGTTATATTTTCAGGCTTTACAAATGAATTCCATTTTGATTTTTTATTCACAATGAATTTTTATTCAAACCAAAAAAAATAGGAGATTACTTTTATGCAATATTGTAATAATTTTTTAAAAATATTACACCACATTTCTAAAGTATTTTAGACCCCCATTGGCGTATTTAGACGTGGAGGTCGCTTTTTTTACCTTGAACACAGAAAAAATTTAACTTTCCCGCTCTTTGGCTCATTTTCAAGCCTTTTCCCATACTAAAACCAATCAACATCATTTCTATTTCTGTATTATACTTTCCATTCACAATGAAAACAAAAAATTGCAATACAATAATAAAAAACAAAAAAAAAAAACACTCCAAAATTGCTGTTTTTAATGAAATCACTCCAGTTTTTTTCATTACCTGGTGCGCAGGATTTTTTTTAGTGGTGCCACATACCACTAGAGTATTCTCTCATATCTAGGCCAAAATTTCCCCCTTCCCAGTTATCAAGTGAGCGAGCCAGGGTGTGATTACGGTTTGGCCCCTAAACGTAAAGCTAGATTTTGGGCATGGACCCTAAAAGGGGTTTTTAAGGGTTTCCTAATTTTATTTAAAACTAAGTGCTGTTACCTACATAGCACATTTGAAAAACTTTTCATTGTAGGATTAAAAAAATGGAACAGGATGAAGTTGGAGCCATCAGGGGCCACCAATTTCATGGGGTCAACGACTTTTTTTTGGGAATCTCATTATGCTGTACAAACAGTTCCAGCCCGGGTATCCTAGGAAGGGACAGGTAGTTTTTTTTTGCTGTCCGTCTTGTTGTTTTTAGAACCCCACTCTTGCTGCCCTTGAGTGAGCCAAGGGGGGAAATTTGACAATGGCCTTGTATATAACGTAAGGCCACCCCCCATCCCTCCTGTGTTGGGGGCTCTGCGAAATGACAATCTATCCACTGGGTCTGGGCAAAGAGGATTACTTGCTCTTTTTTCTCTATTCTTCAAGAAGTCACAGATAGATGGAGGGAACATTCCAAGAAAATGGACATCCCAAATATGAAAGTATTGTGCCCTTTAACCAGAATCTTCAACCCCTCTTTTGAGCAGATGCAATTTTTCTAAGTCTGTAAACTTCTGGCCATTTTGCAAGATTTTCAACATGGTTTTTCATGGCAGTTCGGATCCCCTTTCACCCCGGACACAACCTCATCCTGAATACCATACACTTCAATTTTCCCTTTTTTCCCGCATTACCACATGGGCTTAGAACCCCTCATCATATGTGTTTTTTCCCCGGGGAAAGGACCCCATTGTTTTTCGAGGTAAAAAATTGCTGTAAGCGGTAAATGCATAAATTAGAGCAATTTCCACTTCCTCGTTTAGATAAGTAAATGTCAGTCATCTGCATATGTCTGGGATATTGGGGCGAGATGAAGGAGGTCATTAAAGTAGATACAGTGGACCCCCGCATAGCGACCTTAATCCGTGGAAGAGGGCTGGCTGTTATGCGAAATGTTTCGGTATGCGAAGAATTTTCCCATAAGAAATAATGGAAATCAAATTAATCCGTGCAAGACACCCAAAAGTATGAAAAAAAAAAATTTTACCACATGAAATGTTAATTTTAATACACACAAACTGAAAAAGGCATGCACAATTACATGACACTTACTTTTATTGAAGATCTGGTGATGATTGATGGATGGGAGGAGGGAGAAGAGTGTTAGTGTTTAAAAAGGGAATCCCCTTCCATTAAGACTTGGGGTGTCGAGTCCTTTTCTGGGGTTACTTCCCTTCTTCTTTTAATGCCACTAGGACCAGCTTCAGAGTCACTGGACTTCTTTCGCACAACATATCTGTCCATAGTGGCCTGTACCTCTCGTTCCTTTATGACTTCCCTAAAGTGTTTTCACAACATTGTCAGTGTACAGGTTGCCAAAAACGGCTTGCAATAGCTGTGTGAGGGTGATTTTCATCAAAAAAGGTTTGCACTTCAAGCCATTTTGCACACATTTCCTTAATCTTTGTAGTAGGCAATTCCTTCAATTTCTCTCTCCCCTCCTTTGAAACCAGTTTCCTCAGGTCTGGCCTCTTGCTCTTGAAGTTGATCTATCAGCTCATCAGTGGTTAGTTCTTCATTGTCGTCCTCCACCAACTCTTCCACATCCTCCCCACTAACCTCCAACCCCAAGGACTTCCCCAATGCCACAATTGATTCCTCAACTGGCATACTCCTCTCAGGTTAGCCTCAAACCCTTCAAAATCCCTTTTGTCTACACATTCTGGCCACAGTTTCTTCCAAGCAGAGTTCAAGGTCTTCTTAGTCACTCCCTCCCAAGCCTTACCTATAAGGTTTATACAATTGAGGATATTAAAGTGATCTCTCCAAAACTCTCTTAGAGTCAGTTGAGTTTCTGAGGTCACTACAAGCACCTTTCAAAACAGAGCTTTGTGTACAGTTTTTTGAAGTTTGCAATAACCTGCTGGTCCATGGCTGCAGGAGAGGAGTGGTATTAGGAGGCAAAAACTTCACCTTAATGAAGCTCATGTCCCCATGAAGTCGCTCTGCCACGTCTGTAGGATGACCAGGGCATTGTCTAACACCAGGAGGCACTAAGTTCTAATTTCTTTCAGTTAGGTAATCTTTCACATTGGGGGCAAATGCATGGTGTAACCAGTTATAGAAAAAGTCCCTAGTGACCCATGCCTTACTGTTTGCCCTCCACAGCACACACAAATTCTCCTTGAGGACATTCTTTTGCCTGAACGCTCTGGGAGTTTCAGAGTGATACACTAATAAAGGCTTAACTTTGCAATCACCACTAGCATTGGAACACATCAACAAAGTAAGCCTGTCTTTCATAGGCTTATGTCCTGGGAGTGCCTTTTCCTCCTGAGTAATGTAGGGCCTGCTTGGCATTTTCTTCCAAAACAGGCCTCTTTCATCACAATTAAACACTTGTTCAGGTTTCAGTCCTTCATTTCTATGTACTCCTTGAATTCCTGCACATATTTTTCAGCCGCTTTGTGGTCCGAACTGGCAGCCTCACCATGCCTTATCACACTATGTATGCCACTACGCTTCTTAAATCTCTCAAACCAACCTTTGCTGGCCTTAAATTCACTCACATCATCACTAGTTGCAGGCCTTTTTTTAATTAAATCGTCATGCAACTTCCTAGCCTTTTCGCTTATGATCGCTGAGAAACGCTATCTCCTGCTAGCTGTTTTTCATTTATCCACACCAATAAGAGTCTCTCAACATCTTCCATCACTTGCGATCTCTGTTTCGAAAACACAGTTAAACCTTTGGCAAGAACAGCTTCCTTGATTGCCTTTCTGTTGCCCACAATAGTAGAGATGGTTGATTTGGGTTTCTTGTACAACCTGACCAGGTCGGTGATACGCACTCCACTTTCATACTTATCAATGATCTCTTTCTTCATCTCTATTGGAATTCTAACCCTTATTGCTGTAGGGTTGGAACTAGAAGCTTTCTTGGGGCCCATGGTCACTTATTTTCCAGATAAAGCACCGAAAACACTGTAATAATACGAAATATTCCGATTGTATGCTTGAATGTTACCGCGGAGGCTGGCTGGTAAACAATGCCACCGGCGGAACATATGAGGCTGGCTCAGGCCGCACATTGGACGCGTCTCGGACGAAGGGCGCTGAGCGGGTTTTTGGGCGGTATGCGAGGCAAAATTTTAGCGATCAAAGCGTCCGGTATGCGGATTGTCCGTTATGCAAGGCGTCCGGTATGCGGGGGTCCACTGTATTCCATAACAATGGCCAAAGCACACTTACCTATGGAACACTTGCACCAATAGTGTCTTGTTGACTCTGTCCCATTCAGAACTATGCTTAGAGATCTACCTTGAAGGTAATCACTGAGGAGGCATAGTGCAGAACTGATGACTCCTAGTGCTTGCAGTTTTGCCAACAGTCCCTGGTGCCATACTCAGTTGAAACAACAAGCAATGTTCAGTGCTACTACACAGCTGACCCTGGCTTCATCCAGTGACTGGTGCCACTTAGTGGAGAGGCTTAACCCTTTCAGGGTCCAGAGGCTAAATTTCAAAGTGTTTATCTGGAGAGAGAGAGTTCCGGGGGTCAACGCCCCCGCGGCCCGGTCTGTGACCAGGCCTCCTTAGGTCAGTGTCCCAGGATGCGACCCACACCAGTCGACTAACACCCAGGTACCCATTTTACTGATGGGGAACATAGACAACAGGT